TGTACTTGACTCCACGCACTGCCATCTAAGACTTTATACACTCGACCCCGTGACGTTACATAGCTCCAATTACATAGCTCCAAAACTCATGGCTAATGATGCTTTCGGGCCACTCGTCTTCTAGTTTTTTCTCTCTCTCTCTCTCTCCCTCTCTGTCTCTCACTACTTCGATCGACCGACCTATTCATGTGTGTGTGTGTGTGTGCGTGTGGGTCGGTTTGTGTCGTTTGCCTCGCGATTTGTTTCGCGATGTGCCAGCTGCCAGACATGCTGGCTGGAGTTCCAGGGGCCGACAGGGTCGCCTTCCATTGCCTCCAGGGGTCGTTGCCCGTCATCTGACCCGAGTCGGCAACACACTTGCTTGTGTTGTTCGAAGTCGATTCCATGAGTCTCGATTGACGTGTCCACCGACATCCCACCCCAGGCTATTATGGGGTGGCTCTGCTCAATGGCTGCCCGCCGCAGGCACACAAGGGCCTTCGCCTGGGTCGGAGTGCTTCCTGAGTTGACTAGGGTTCGGGCAGCTCCGTCTGGTGGCATGGGCATTGGGAATCAGGAATCCCACCGCGTAGAGATTCGCATGAGTTTGCCTCAGGTCGTCAGCTGAAGACACTCCCCCCGATCTTGTAGTGACTCCCAAACTGTCAACACCTGGCAATTAGTGGACACACAAAAAAGACGGATCGAACAACCCAGAGCGTCCAGCGGCATCTGTCACCACCACGACCAACAACGGCACAAACAAGAGCAGCAGCCGGGGTTGCGAACATGGCAGTGACAGTCGAAACCCGCCGCCCCCAGCAAGGCAAAAGAATTGACCCAGCCATGCTAAAACTCAGACACGAACCCGGAGGACGTGAAAACCTTCTGGCGAGGGTTCGGCGAACTGCTCGACAGTGGCTCCATGGCGCGCATGGCGACCAACAACCTCATCCTTTCGGAGCAGCCGCAGGGACCAATTCATTCTGAATACGGGAACGGGTTTGTGCTGACAGCCATATCGCAAGCATTGAGACTTACGTATGCTAGCAGAGCTAGCCGCCAATTTCAGTCTTGCACAGCCAAGTTACCTCAAGCATTTGCCAAACCTTGCCCTGCCTCTTTAGGGCTTCGGGCTTGAAGGGCTGCGAGTCTGCATGCTTGTTATATAGAAGTCACCAGCCCTTGAACCCCTGAACCAGTACACGACACTTCTGCATCGATCTTCCCACATCCGTGCCTCCATTTTGAGGATTTTCTATCAAACCGGCCGGCGGCTGCCCTACGTGCGCGCACACGGCCTCTACACTGAGGTCTCGTCAGAAGATCCAGACCCAAACACCCTAACCACCTGGAAGCCTGATTTAGCCTTCGGAATGCATACACACGTGCAGGACATAACGGCTTCCGTAGCTGTATACGGGATGAGAGATCAGACATCTCTTCGCAGATTTTTTCCCGAGACTGTAAAGGGTAGTGATTAATGCTGCCAGATTGGGGGTTGGAGTGCTAGTGTTTGATCGCGGCTGCGGCTGGACTTTCGGAATTCAGGGTTCAAGTCATGTAAGGATTGGGATTGAAGCCGACGGGAAAACGGCTTCGGGACTTCAATTCAGCGGAGATTGATTTTCGCAGAACTTGTGTCCCAGTGCGCAGGGGTTTCAGATACAGTCTTTGGACTGCAAGGGGTGTAGTATTGCCGCATGTAGGTTGGCTTACGGATTTCCTCCGGCAGCTGAGCATCTGTGCCTGTAAACAGGTGTCTTATTCGCCCAAGCTTCTGGACCAAGTACTGTTCTGGAGGCAGGCCCGGCTTCTCACCCAAGGTGCTGCTTGAGATTTTATATCAAATTCAAGTCCAACAGTCCATGCGTGCATCCTTTGCAGCAAGATACATTCGCTTGCGCTTTTGTCGCGTTGCATCTTGATGAACCGTTCAAAAGGCCCATAGGCAGCTGTCAGACCTTGCAAGGAGGTTTCGAGACAAAAGCCAGCTCGAACCAGGCTCCCCTTGGTTGCACAGCCCTGAATGCGCGGCCTCTGGGGTCCCAAGCGAGCGGGGGTCGAAGACATGAGATGTTCACAAGCTGGGTGCAGGTCGCCGCTGTTTGCATACGCTCCCTGGCTCCTTTGCCTGGGGGAAGGGTTTCCGTTCATAAGGTTTGGAACGTCGAGGGAACCAACCTGGGCCTTGCGTGAAGATATGACAGATGGATAAGCTTTCACAGGCCCGGGGAGCCGCAGGTAGCCTCTGTAGCCTGTTTCTGTGCCACTGTGTCATAAGCCATCATGAGCCCTGAATAATCCTCTCCCGACCTTGCCTTATCAGCACTCGTACCCTCTTTGCCATGCTTGCGGCAGCTGAGGCAACTCTTCGCTGTGCCATGTTTCGCTTTCTGGAAGGCTGCACGGCCCGTGTTGACATGGGCTTGAAGTTTCAGCGGCTGCCGGGGATTCAGGATTTCAATGCAGGGCTGTCGAAGGTTGCAAAAGCCGATCGAACGGAGGTCGGAGGTGCGACAGAATCGTCACAGCCGTGTACTGCTGGGGACCCTTAAGCTCCAACAGTGTATGGTCAATTTGTGGAGGCCGGGGCAGGCAAGACAGACAAGAAAGGCATGGTCACGTCCTTTCCATCGACATGAACCGGGAACCGTGAAGTTACCAGCGGAAGCCCCAGATCTTTGATGCCTGATCCCAGCTCTCACGGAGGCTTCGGGCAGTATCCGCTGAAGTTCTACTTCCTGGAGGGCTCGGAGAGTGTTCCCTATGCCAAGGCAGGGCCCAAAAGCGGCATGCACAGGCGGCCTCCATGTCTGAAGATGCGGGGGAGCGCAGCGACCCGACCCCCCCCTCTCCCTTCCTCCTGGCACGCCCGTCGCGCTACCTGGAGGCGGTCTCCTTTCGGGCCATTGCCATGCTTCCTCACGACCATGCGCCTTTGTGTGAAAGGTTTCCTTCCTGACAGTCCTGTCTTTGGCAGAGCTCCTGCTGGTGCATGGCCTGAGGCCCTGGTCTGGAAATGTTATCCGTTGGTCTGCAATCGGCTTTTCTACTCTCCGGTGGTTGGTTGAGACTAGGTTGGGGCCTGATTCGAGGGAGGATGTCTTTATCCAGTCTTGTCGCGAAGCCTTGCCCGTCTCGTGTCAGCTTGAGAGTCGAAGAACCTCCGGTAAGCCCTGGAGCCCGCAACTCCTGTCCTTGATCAAGCGCATAACCTCAGCTCTGATTCAAAGGAACTCTTCAATCAACGAAGGGTTTGGCTCTGCAGGGCATTGGCCCATAATCCCGCTCCATTGTAGAACTTTGGATTTCGCGTCTTGAATATTGAACCCAATGGCAGCAATTGAAACGCGTAAGCCCTAGCCGCCAAAACCAAGAGCTCCTCCGAGGCGCTGATGTCCTTCTACGAGCTCTACTCGACGGCGACCCCCCTGCTGCTGCCATCTGCAGAGTGGATGTACCGCCTGCCCGGGGACCCATTCGGATCCTTATGACTCCATGCCACATCACGGGATCATGATTATTATGACATGATTATTTTTTTTACTATTATGACTATTATTACTAAGTATTATTGTCATTATTTTACTATGAAGGGCCTCGCAGACCAGAGCCGGCCCCTTTGTCAGGCTTTACATGCGCGGCCAGCTGTCTGTGGGCGAGCGTGCCCGGATCTGGAATTGGCGGGCTGAGTCCGTGGCAGGGGCTTGACGATACGGCGAAATAGGTCGGAAACGATCTGCGATCGGAGCCGCAGATGCTTTGGTTTTCATGGGGATCCTCCTGTGTTTCTGCCAGATCCTTTTAAGGCGAAGGCTCTAACCCAGTCTAACCCGTTTGACGAAGCCACGCTAAGAGTTTCCAAGCTTCAACTTTTAAAGGTTGGAGGGCCCTGACCTACAGCAGGAAGACTCTCGAAGAGGGACCCTGATAATCGCGAAGCTTCGATCTCCCCATGCTGCAGGTTGGTACCAGTCCATCATGCCCGGCCACGAGCCACCTTACTGCGAGTTCGAGGACCCCAGGGTATGGTGTTACGCACCCTCCCTGAACCCAGCAGTCAGGTGCTTAAGGTTCTGTACCAACTATAGCGAGCATGAGGAAAAGCATCGGCAACTCCCAAGCTTATTCATTGCATCCCGTCTTGTCGATCTTGCATTACGCTGTTTCCGCCTTTGAAAGGTGCACCGTGGCCTGTAAGCCTAGGATCCTCATAGATGTGCTCGGGGCTGTGCATGTGGGTTCTGCTTGAACCATGGGAGCGGGCTCACCAATCAAAGGTAGAATCGACGATCTGTCCTCAGCCCTCAGCACTCCGGGGCGCCCGAGCGGAGCGGGAGCCGGACAGACACATGCCCAGACCGACGAACGGCGATGATGACCGCGACTTCGACGACGGAGACGACACAGCTCAGAAAGATCTGCCGGGCTTGATGGTTGCGACAGGAACTCAGGTGCGGTGCAACTGGGTTGACCCGTCGAAGGAGGGCAAGCTGTTGAACTCTTCGTTTGGCACTTCGAAGAAGGCCAAAGTCGATCCGGCTAAAGCCTCTTTGGATCAGCTTCTTGCCGCCTCAAAGGCTTGCGAGCGTCTGCAAGTCAAAGGCCCCAGGCGTCCCGACATCTCCACTATTGGTAGGGAGGGATGGCCCGAAATTGCAGAGCATCAGGCGATAATTGTCAGGGCAGTCTCGGAAGCACTCATGAATCGGTTGGTGGTGCTGCGTGTCGACAACTTCCCTGGCTCGGGAGATCCTGTGTTTGGCACCAAGCACGAACTTCGTCGGAGCTTCCGGGCACCTGACCTCTTTGCGAGACTTACGAGTACCTTCAGGGGCTCCTCTGGCACGCCTTGCCTCAAGAAGCTGACGCTGCAAGGTGGCTTCCACTCAGCCATATCCGTGACCACCTTCTTGCAAGTAGCCAAGCCACAGCTCGAATCCTTCCGCTGCCGGCAATGCCTCTTTCACGGCCGTAACTTCGAGATGCTTGTCAAGGCCTTGAGCGGAGTCAGCACGAAAAGTCTGGTAGAGTTTGAGACAGACGCAGCAATCGGCGGCAGCGATCCCTTCGGACTTCTGGCTGACTCTTTCCCAAACCTGAGGATGCTGCGAGTGAAGTACATGTTTGGAAAGAAGAGCCACCTTCCGGCTTTGAAGCGGCTACCGCAACTTTGTGCGAGGGAATGCGTTCTGCCGAGCGACCGACTTTGTGGGCGGCCGGCCGTGGATACTGAGACAGGCATCGTCTACTGGGGTATCACTTCCGGGCGCCACGGCGACTACAGGGGAGATGGCCTCTGGTGGGACGAGCTGAGGAACACATGCGAGTGTATGGAGGAGTGGGACGTCGGCAAAGGGATAACCAAGGAGCAGTGCCTCGATTTCATGGAAGACTGCGGGATAGAGCTGAACGACAGGCTAGACGACCAGGAATGTGGCATGATGGATGATAGCTTTCGCAGGGGTGTGGATTCGGAGACTGAGATGGACACAGTCGTTGTGCAGCTAGAAATTGACAACTCTGCCGGCGCCACCGGCACATTGGTGATCCAGGCACGCACGATGGATGGTCGCGAGTTCGCGCAAGTGACGCTGGATGCCAACAAGACACTGGTGCGCACACTTGTGGAAGAGTTGGCCGCAAAGTATCCCTGCTCACCCGCCGCTCTGCGCGTTGTGCTGCCTGGTGGCACTGGCATCGATCCCCTCGAAGCGGCCAACAAACTATTGGCCGTGGTCTTGGTTTAAGGGAAGGCGATGCGTCACGGGAAGGCGATGCGAGCATACACCTGAGTCTGCCATCTCGTGCTGTGGGTAGGGCACCGGTCGGTACTTGGCTGAGCAAGGCTTCGACGACAAGCATCAGCTTGCCACACCGTGCTGTGGGTCAGGCAGTGCTCGTTTTCTGTTGAAAGTCCTCTGGCTAAGCAGCACGTCTAAAAGAAAAAACCACAGCACCTCACCCATCCCAGTCCAACACCTTGAACTGGACTGACTTGTTGCAAAGCATCCTTGTACGTCTTGTATGCCATGTTGGAACTGTGCAAAGCCCTTTGCAACTCAATGTTTTCGGTTCGGAGTTTCAGGCTTGGGCCGTGATGGTTGTGGCAGAATTCAGCTCATCCGAACCTCCTCCGGTTTTAGGAGACAAGGCATGGAATATCATGGAATGATAACCCTGAAGCCCTCTCTTCAATGCCCAAACCCTCAAATTCCTAGCAGATTTGGTTGGAGGGATTTGGGCTTTCAGTGGCTGTCATTGGCCATTGCTAAGCAGGAGCCTTTGTACTGGTAAATGCACTCATTGTATACGTACACCGCAGTATCTCCAAAGCCACTTTCGTTGTCTCAAGATCTGCTGAATTTCTCCAGCATCGGCAGGACGCAGGGGAAGAAAAGAAAGCCCGAAACTCAGATCATACCGTCGATTCGGAATCGATTTGAGTGTAAGGTACAGGCTTTAAAAGCAGAGCTCGTAGATAGTTCAGACTTAAAGCACCTCGGTTAAATTAAACCGTCCGGTTAAAGCCGCGAGCCTTTAAGATTTAAGTGCACCGGCAGCCGATTAAACACCGCTAGGATTTTGCCACTGGGCGCAGCCTTTGTGATGTTTTGTGCACATTTTGTTGGTTCGAGCACGAGCATGACTCCCCTAATAACCTGATATGCAGCAAGGCCCATGATAGGAGATGGTATTCAAGAGAATAGATGACGAAGCAAAGCTCTGGCCAGGACAAGGAAGACACAGAGCAAGTTGCCAGGGGGCTCAAGAAGAAACCTAAGTTGGCCTGAAGCACGGTGAAGCGTAACAGTTGGTGCTGGAACAGAAATGCGCGATGCTCCAAGCTGCTCAGATAATGAGTAGCTCAGACAGCTTGCCATTGCCACACACGTGCAGGACAATGTGCAGCTTGGTTTCACGAGCTTAGGCCTAGGCGAGGGTGTGAACATTTCGAGCCGTCATAATGAATAGGTGCAAAAAGAAAGCGATGAGACTTCAACGGTCCTGCGCGGTGCCATGGATCCGCTAGATCTTTACTCTCGACCTCCCACCTATCTGTGCAGACACGGTCCGGTGCGGTTTTGGCTTGTTTGTCATTTAGAGAACTGAAGGAGACGGCCCTGCATGGATGCAGCAGCCAAAAACATCCCAAAACCTGAACCCTGAAGAAGCCCGCGAGGACTAAACCCTAAAATACCCTAAACCGGTATCTCCCGACCCTAAGGCAGGCACGCCAGACCCAGCCTGGGGGGTCAATGCCGCAAAGGCTGCACGAATCGCCGCAGTGCCCTGGCCAGTCGGAGAGGTCTCGGGTGACAGAAGATGTGGGCTTCGTGAGGCCTGGCAGAGCTGTCCTTAAGGTCACCGGGGAGGCAATAATCGACTTCAGAGGCTGAGCTTTGTCTGGGCTGTTTGGGGTCGAGGCCACTGACCAAGGCCTGAATCGCTAAACTGAACTCCGAACACTACGTAAGCCCTCCGAAGCCTCTAAGCCCGAGTCACAAACCCCAGAGAGTTGTGTGTTCATGCATTTTCAGATGCGTCTATCCCGCCTTTTTGCTTTGATGACTTGATGATGCTGCTCCGTACCTGGCGCATGAAGGTGCCGCTTTCATGTTTCCAAGTTTCTTCAGGTGTCCTACCTTTGATACGCGTCGTGTGTTCGTGCTAGCCATGCCACCGGCCCACATCATTAGCCTGCGTGGCAACGTCGTAGTTACGAGGTCGGAAAGAAACCCTCCATTCAAGGTCGCCGTTGTACGTTCCAAGAATTCTCTACTGCTCCGAGGGAGTAGTTAAGCTAGCTGACGAACCAAGCTTGACAACAAAACTGCATTCCATCGTGAACCGTTCAATGGGTTTGTGCGAGATGTGTTGGTGTGGTCTCCCTTGAACGCTGCATAGGGTCCAGGCCTTTTTCTGCCATGTCTCGGAAGAAGTGCCTTCCAGATCTCGGCTCGTTTCAGATGGCTTCCTCGTGGCGTAGGCCTCACATGCAGCCCCAAACCCGGGAGCCTCTTTGAGGTGCAGACTTTGAAACGGATCGTTACCGCCACCGATCTGGAGACTGCCAAGAGCATGGCGGAAGCCACCCTCGGACCCTGGGTCGGGGTTTGCACCACTATCCCGGCTCTGTTTCAGTTCCGTGGTGAAGATGAGACGGCTTAGCCGTAGCCTTAGCCGTAGCCTTAGCGCCAAAGCTTCAGAGTACAGGAAGAATGCCGAGGATTGATTCAGAATTTGCGGTTGGACAGTGGTGGAGATTGTGTGTGTGTGTGTGTGCGTGGACGTTGTAGATAGTGCTGACTGGACACCGAGGACTCGTTCGGGCTTCGGACCGGCCACTGCAGGTAAATATGGTGTAGCCGGGGGAAACTGACCCTTCCTGCAAACGGACTCCTAGTTTATTGGTGCCCTCTCTTCACGGTTGCCCGTCTCTGCAGGACTGATGGAAGACCAGCGGCTTGACTGACCCGCGTATAGATGTTGTGGGTGTAGGGTTGGAGGGTCAGGGCTAACAGAAAACGAACACCGCAGCCTTGAGTGGCTGGGGCACGAGGCAGTTGCAGTCTGGCATTGTCCAGTTTATGTCTGGCCCGAGGAAGTTCTTCTTGGCAGTTGCTGCTAACGAGACCGACCAGGACGTTTTATAGCCGAACCCCAAAGCCTTAGATCCTCTTCCAATGAGTCAGTTCCCCAGCAGGGGGGCCAAAGGCTTACAAAGAGGAGTTCCCTGCATGCATCCGTCTTGCAGGTATCGAGCGCACCCGAAGTACTTAGGCAGCACCCAGCCGATTTAGGGTAGTTCTCGAAGACCCTGAAGAGCCCTGCAGCAAAGGTGTTTCATACCTTCCCCCAATTTGCAAAACGCAGAATGCCTCGAGGGAATCCCATTTTCTTCGGAACCCTGTGCAAATGTCACCGGAACCCGCTCCCAGCTGCCAGTACACAGCAAGAACAAACCCTACCAAACATCGCAGCAAAGTGCTTTCTCAGCGGCCTACCATCCCTGCCTTGCTTATCACCTCAGTTCTCAATCCTAGTCCCTCGCAGGATTCCGCAACTTCCATGGGTGTCGTCCGGCGCAAGGAGCCTCCTATAGCGAAAGGCCGAGGGCTCGTAGGTATTAGGGGTTCCAAAAAGCACAACATGCGGAACCCCTGGCAAATGGGCAGGAAGCTGCACGAAGCGGGTGTTTTCCTAAAACTGGGGTGCCTTTTTGTTTTGGGGTGCCTGAGAGAGTACCTCACTCTTACAATGAGGGCCCCCGAGAAAGACCGTACTGTAGCCCTAACTTCATCGATGCCCAAGTGTTGCGGAGGAGATGTGCACTTTCTGTTTGCAGTTTAAACCCCTAGCCCGGGTTTATAGATCCAGATCCTCCTCTAAGTTCGGGGTGTCAGCCCTCAACCTGAAGGATACCTCGGATGAGCAGGTCACCTTCCATCGGAGCGGAGGAGCATGTGGGGGGGTGTACGGACACGCCGACCTAGCATCTTCTATTACAGCGAGGGCTAGTAGCACCCCGTCCTACTTATCACAAGTTGTATCCGTCATGTTGAACAGCATAGAACACTCGCAGAGTGAACCGTCGCCACAGTCACGTTTCGATCAGCAGCACAATCTTGTACTTCGTGCATCCTTAGACGAGGGGTTTCTGGTTCGTGCGATTAGGGGGTGCCTTGAGCTTGGTCTCATGAATCCCCGGCTGTCCTAAACACATCCAAGAACGCGACCAGCCAGAGGAGAGAAATCTTGGCACCCCTACACGCCATTCCAGATGTCGAACCGGGACTCCAACGACTGGACGCGAATGCGCAAAGGAGGCACTGAATGCGGATTCCGGCTGGGTTGTCGGGATTGAGGGGATCGAAGGTGAAACGCCGCATTTACTCCTCCATCGGAAAACCAAACCCGTCAGATTGAGGGCTTCAATTGAATTTCATTCAGCATCCCCGAATCACATCGCCATGCTTTTGTGAAGCACCGCACCCAGTTACATGTTCACACGTGCGCAGCACGGATCGGAAGTCAATGATAAACAAACCGTGTAGAGGTGACCCTTAATGTAAACCACTGCAAAGGTTAGAGGGCTTCTTGGTGTGGGTTCTGTAAGTGACGGGCACGCTCCTGAACTGGCAAGCGTTTTGATCACCAACACTGTCGTTTCGATCCAGACCATTTTCGCAAGGTTGGTGGTTGCGGAGGGGCCCCCGTTTCGATGCAATGCGCTACTGGCATCAGTTCTCGGACTTTGCTCCTTCGACGATCTTTGGCCAGGGTGTGGGAGCGGGGGTGGATCGCTGTCACAGGATCCTACCTTTAAATGCCATGTCGCTTTGGTTTTTCATGCGTACCAGTTTTCAGTGGTAGACGTGCCAAAAGAGCTTGTCAGCCTGCTGACATCTACAGATGCAACAACGTTCGACTTGACAGCTTAGCCGATTACGGCATCCCTGCAGAGTCTGTAGAGATAGTATCCGCGCAAATATTGTCATTGTGATTGTGCTTAATTTGAATGTTGTCATATTTCCACACATGCAAACCTCAGCCTCAATGTAAAGTACATCCCAAACCTTGGAACTCCCTTACGCCCTGACTTAACTTAAGCATTCGCAAGACTCTCAGTCCCAACACCTTGGTACCAATAAACCTTGCAGTGCGACCTGTTCCGCTAAGCGGGTAAGAAAATTAAACCCGTGTGCCTTATCGGACGAAGCTCTCGGGTCTATCGATGTCTTGCAAGGCTTCAGGCTTTGTGTATTAAGGTTGTTGGGTCGTACACTGTATTCATGCTAGACAACGGACGATGCAGTTTACGGTCACCTAACTTTAGCACCACCCGCCATGAGCATGTTTTTAAAAGAGAACAGTTGCTTGCAGGCCTGAAGCCTCCACCCCATGATTGAGTTGATGCCCTGCTCACCTGAAGCTGCCCACATAGCCATCTAGGCGCTTTCTTGGATTTTTTGTCGCGCCCGGCGCACTGGACTATTGCTGCAGATAAAGACACATGAGGGCGTCGTAAAAAAAAACGACAGAAAAGCCCTGAACGCCTTAAAGCCACTGATTCGAGTTTCCTAGGCGAGGTTTCCGGGACTGCAATACTTCGTCGGGGGCCCAGCCCAACGAAGGGGTTGTGGTGTATATAAATATAAATATAGGCATAAACAAATAGATGAACAAACAAACAAATAAATACATAAAGGGGGTTCAACATGCCTCGTGAGAGACTTGACACCTGCCATGCAGAGTCAATGACGATGCCAACCGGGATATATATATATATATATATATATAATAGTAAACCATCAAATAGTGCGAGGGGAGGGTTTACCTCGTATCTTGTTGAGGAAATACGCATCTTTTAGCTCCTCGCTTGGGTTGATCATTTCGGACCCCGGCCTGGCATGCATCCAAACTGACTATCCAAACACCAACCGTTTCAGTGTCCACCTTGGGGTTATTAAGCGCTTCGCGAGCCGGGCCTGTCATGCATCCAAACATCAGCCGTTTCAGCATCCACGCTGGGGTTCCGGTGGTGCGGACTAGCCGGATTTCCTGGCCGCTGTTACCGACACTACGTTTGGTCGGGAATCAACACATCTCTCAAGTGAAGTACGCGGATCTTAGGGTTTTTTCGGCCAGCTGTATAGGACTTCCAAAGTCAAAACTCGATACGCAGATCTCGGGTGTATCGCGTCCGTTGTTCGAAGGCGGTGAATGTGAATATTATCTTTATCATGCTTCGGAGATCTGTAGCTATCAACAAAGAAGTAGCGCGTGCCGGAAACAGTGTTGTACGATATCATCTGTATATATATATATATATATGTATATATATATATATACATATATTATATGTATAAGTATAATGTAAAGAAACAGATAAACACATCAACAAACATTATATGTATGTATATATCTATATATGTATGTGTATGAAACTATATATGCGTTCGTACTATACTATAGTATAGTATGCTAGATTAGACTATACTGTAACGGAATAGAACCTAACATAGCGTGGCATGATATGATATGACATTATATAGTACAATAGAACATGATACGATATATCATAGTATATAGTATAGTATAGCATGATGAATTACATTTGTTATAAACTAAATGAGAGAATACCATATAATAAACTGTACTATACTAGAGTATAATGCAACTCAGTATACTACAGTATAATACAATTTCTTAATCCAACATAACTTACCAAAAATACATCACATGAAAATATAAGTAACCATACATTTATTTCTCCTTCCTATGTCTGTGTATTTATTATTACGATGATGATGACGACTATTCTGTTTCCTAATGTTAGGTACAGTCTTGGTGCACGGGGCACAGGAGTTCGAACTACGGGGGCCTTTCCACATTTCCGCATCTTCTGGCATTTTCTGGCCCGAAACCCTCGACCTCGGTAGCTGTTGAATGTTGTGGTGCCCATGTAGGACATTCAGAGATTTTTCGTTCAGTGGAGGACATGGTCGACCGGGTGAGCGTGGTACGCTCGTCACAATGTAGTGGTTCTCAGGTAGGGCATATTGCCAGAGGCTTCGCAAAGCCGTACACCAACCGGCCAAGGCTCACCATGCCTCTGAAACTTCTAAAGCAGTTTGAGATGCTTCGGTCCTATCTCTGCGCCCCTTAGCGTTGAAACCTCGAATTTTTGAATTGGGGCCTTGTAAACCATACACAGGCTCCGAACCTGAAATGCCGTAAACCCATTCCTCGGTACTAGAGGCCAACATTCCAGAGCTCCTTTGCCGAGCGCAGTCCATCGATATCCCGACAGTTACCCAGGCCGATTGCCAGTCTAACGGGTTTATACATCCAAGTGGGCTGTATGTACGTATGTGTATGTACATGCATATGAACATGCAGCACATACATAAAGATATGAGTGCATGTCTACATACTTCGTTGACATGCGCAAATGTGTATGTACACACCTGTTATGCACCCGCAGTACGTGTGTACGCACATATGTACACACCCACTCACTTGTACACACGCGCTCATATATGTGCACATACACACGTACATATATGCATGCACACACACGAGCATACGTAGATTCGTACATACATTCTCACATAGATAGACCGACAAGTAGATAGGTAGGTAGATAGATACAGTAGATGGACAGGTACAGACATGCAGACACACATGCATGTCGTGTGTTCCACTCTGGACGAGGGTTGGGCGAAGACGGCATCTACTTTTGCATCGAGGGTTGAGGAGTGCTTGGGAAGGTTGAGGGGGTGGGGAGCCATCACGAAAGGATCTTTTTCCCACACAAGCGAGGTACTAGAGAACGAAGCCTTTAACCTTTACTAGGTTCCCGACGGGGTTGCTGGCATGGTGCTGTATGCACATGATGCAGTCATTGCTACTATGGCACAGCCTACTGTCCGCAGAGGTTTAACCAATATCGGATGTCAGCTTAGCGTTTGCTGCCGGACCACTGTGCTTGTTCTCGTGGCAGCTTGTGTCTAGGAGCCCATGGGAGGGGTTGTAACATACTGGCCAGCTGTCAACCTTACTCTGAATCCCTGACCCTACCACCACTGACCCAGCCAACAGGGCATGCAGGCATACAACCAGGCTCGACGGGCACCTAGCTGCGCCCAGGCTTTCCTTGGCCTTTCGGGTCCTGCAGAGGCTTTCTCAGGTTGTGGTGGACCGTGCCCTTGATCTCCCGTCATTTCCCGATGCAGTTCCCGGTTCAGGCCGCACACCTATTTTGGGACACTTTGAGACTGCAGCCCAACGAACTCTGTGGTTTGAAGCTAGCTGAAGTGTCAGAGTTTTGGGCTTCCAAGGCATCTTGAGAAAGAAGCTTGCATTCTGTCTATGCAAGCAAACCATCTCTACCCCGTTAGTTCGTTGAAAAAGGTTTAGGGCCAAGGCCCAAATGTCCGAAACAGAGACTCCTAGGCCCCGACCCAGCAATGCAGGAGGCAGGAAAGATCCTGACCACTGATTCCTGAACCGTAAAGCCGAAATCCTCAACTAAATATCCTTTTCCAACGCCCCATAGTCAATATCCAGTCTCAAACACTCAAGAGTACACCACCCGGAGGCTTCACTGGCGCACTCCTCCGCCTACTGGTCGGATGCTATCCTCGAGGTCTTGGAAAATGCGAGCATGAAGACAGGGATGGCTCTTGAGTCTGTCAAGGAGGCATAAAGCCTTAGGTTGAAGATTCCGGGTGTAGCTGAAATGTGAATGCTACCACTCAGAACACCCATCGCAATTTTCGTTGAATCTTCTCGTGGGGAGATCTTTCACATGAAGGATATGCTTCTATTTCTGCTTCTGACACGTTTTGCTATGTAGCGCAGCTTAAAATAGTCCTTACCACGTAGTTGTAGCTGCTGCTGCTGCCGCTGGCTGATGTTTGTTCCTTGTTGCTGGTTGTCTTCTGGTTGCAACTTGCTGCAAGAATCATTTTGCTGATGAGCTGTCGCTATCTGCTGCAGCCGGCGGTGATGGTGGTGGTGGTGGTGTTGGTGGTTGCTGCTGCTGCTGCTGCTGCTGCTGGTGCTGCTGCTGCTGCTGCTGCTGCTGCTGCTGCTGCTGGTGTTGTTGCTGCTGTTGCTGTTGCTGTTGCTGTTGCTGTTGCTGTTGCTGTTGCTGTTGCTATTGCCGTTGTTGCTGTTGCTATTGCTATTGCTATTGCTATTGCTATTGCTATTGCTATTGCTATTGCTATTGCTATTGCTGTTGCTGTTGCTATTGCTATTGCTATTGCTATTGCTATTGCTATTGCTATTGCTATTGCTATTGCTGTTGCTATTGC